AAGCAGCGAATGTAATTTTTAAGTATAATCCCCCCATTGAAGTTATCTGTATCCTATAGAAACTATTTTCTTTTTCACCTATAGAATCAGACTGCATCCTAATGGACGAAGTCATGATAAAAGCATAATTCATTGGTATGATTTCCCTATTAAAACATGTTGGGTTCTATCTAAATCTATTTCATTTGCCACCTGCGAAATGTCTCATAGGATTACACAAATCTGAAAAAGTAAAAAAATAGAGATTGTAAAACCTATAGGATTCATAATTTTTCTATTCACACAACTAAATAGAATTATGATGATTCTAAAAGATAGTTAGCAATTCTATAGGAAACGAAGAGTTTCTATAGAAAATGAAAGAAAATACTTGAATAGGAAACTAAGTGATTGAATAGGATAATACGACTAAGAATTTTTTTCGATTATCTATTCAACCTCTGTAGGATTTTACATTATAGAATAAGTTAGAGCTCTTCTAACATCCAATAATTTATACCCTTCCTCTTGTTAGCATTTTATTGATTTGATACCAAAATTCTAATGGGGAATATCGCGATGGAAAATCATTCTATAAGTCACATTTTCCTTTTTAATCTATTTATTTCCCTATAGAATCTTGGAGAAAACATTTATATAAAAAAATTCCAAGTCCTGTTAGGAAATATTGCTAGAAAACACTAAGATGTATTTTTTTCCAAGCTATTTACAACGAATAGGTGATTAAGATATATCAAGAATTTGTCATAAAAATAATAATACTTTACCTGATATATCAAGTAAATACACACACGAATAGTAAATACAATCAGGTTCTCTGATTTCCGAAACACGGGAAACATGATTTTCAAAACTGGAAATCGAGAGTCATAGTATCGCTTCATGCTAAGCAGTGCAAGTGGAAAGTAAGGACTGTCCATTGGAGATTTAGGGTCAAAAAATGAGAGGAATCTAACTGTAGCCTTTTTTTTGTTCTCAGCATTGTATTCATCGAAGAGTGATATTTTAATAAGGAATGTCATGATGAGAAAATATTTTCCGAGTCGCATTTACCTTTTTAATCTGTTCATTTCTCATAGAAACTTGAAGAAAATAAACTTTTAAAATACTATCAAATCGTATTGAGAAATATTTCCTCTAAAAATACTAAGGAAGAATTTGAAACGATTCCAAAAGAAAAGTGAAACAGTTGAATTGATGAGTGGTTAGTGCGTATGAGCAAATGTATAAACTGTAATGGAATTTATTCCGAAAAAATATAAATGTATATAATCACACGACAAGATTTATTGAACACCCTATGTAAAAGCTTCAGATTCGGGAGATTTTTGCAGACCAACTCTAATCCTTGTCCTCTCAAGCTGCCATTTACTGATTGAAACCTGGTGTCAATTTTCCTTCCGAAATTTAAGGCTAAGAGACTGAAGATCCCCGCCCTTCTAGGATGGATCTCAATCTCTCCGGATCGTATTTCTTAAGAACAAAAATGTTGTCGCAACCTGAAGATCAAACTGCAGACTCGAACAGCTGCTGGAGAAACTGACCTTCGAATAGTTTATCGGAATGGTATCCAACAGATAGTGAGAGTGTACTACCCTCAGCCCCTACACCTCCAGCCACTAACCTACCCTTATCCCAACCCCTAATAATGAAATGTTTACGAAAAGAATAGCAAAAATTTCAAAAAATCCTGAAAACTTTAAACCTCTATAAAAATGTTATGATGTACTTGCGTCAAAAAACCTGGGGGGGGGGAGGGGGTTATGTTGCAGTATGACCAACAAATACCCAAATTGGGGATGTCTCTAGAATAGAACTCTACCTCTGAAAACGATCGGCTTCTGAATACCAAAGTTTAGTGTTCATTTTTAGACTTCTCTGGTTATATCTTCGGCTAACAATGACAAGATTTATACTCTGATCTGTGACCTAATTCAGGCTGTGAATGTCTTACACGATGCTTTAAATTTCTCACTTGACCGCTTATGCTGCGTAGTATGACTTCGATGAAGTTTTTGCTAAGAGCACTTTTCTTAACGGATGAATTATTATGACGTACTTCGCGGTTTAATTAAGACCATTTTGTTTGTTCTCATGCCTGTATTTTTATTGTGTACCCCTAGCCTGGCTTTGCTGTTGGGCCTATGTAATTATTTAAATAAATAAATACGGATATTTACGGTTGCATCTGTAGAACCAATAGGTAGTCGATAAATGTGTAACGAATCAAAAAAATTTAATCTTGTAGAGCATTTTATGCTAAAAAAAAAGTGTTTAGTATATTTGAAACGTATGTTCTGATGATATTTCTTTAGCATAAGATATCAACATTTATTTCAATAGTTTTTTAAATATATATATTTCTTTTTATTCTAGCAAAAAAACTATTAATAAAAAATAAAACGAACAGATTGTTGCCATACAAAGTGAACATTTATCTTTTGAAATGAAAATAAATACTAAACAACATAATGGAACTTTTCCATCAGTACGATCCTTTCCTATCTACGAAAACTAAGTCGTTTATCCCCGATATCTGTTCTCTAGAACCTCTTTGTATTTACACATTACTAATTTTCCTCTGTTTAATTACTAAAGTTAAATTCATTTTTTTATAGTTTTCTTTTACTGATAAATCAATATGAAAATATTTTTATCAGATATTTTCCCTTTACAAACAGTGTTAAGAAAGTATAAATGTGTTATACTAATTGTAAGCGTTGAAACATGTTTGTCAGAATATGCATCACGCTTATGGTGACTCTCAGCGGAGTTAGTTACAAAGCCGAATAAATCGATAACCACAAGGGCTGAATAGAACATCAGAGAATGGTTCAGTCTCACCAAAAAGATCAACACATCAACCTAGGTCAATAATAGCGGTGGAAACAAAAATACTATTGATTGATTTTCTATATGAACTTTGATGAGTGTAAAGTCACTGAAATTCACTAAAAAAGTCATTTAGAAATTTCATCCATTTTTATTCACTTGTACAATAACAACAATAAATGCTAGTATCACCTTAATTTCTTTGATTAACATAACTTTTATGGAAGTGCTTTTTCTCAAATTTTCGACTTTAATTATATTCTTTGAATATATCTAATACAAATATAATATTTATTATAATTGGACTAAAAATTTAGAAAAGCTTAACAAAAACTTATAAGATACACTGAGAGAAATTTTGTACTTAAAAAAAGACTAGTCTTTATTTAACTTGCGGGAAATCAAAACTTTTCTTAAAGTTAGCAAATTTTAAACTTACATGAAGAATTAATTTTACTTATCAGAAGTATTTCGGATTGAATTACGAAGTCCTCATTTTACTTATATCAAGTTTAATTATTTCTAGCTATAAGTCGAAAATGTACATGTGCTAAGTCAAAAAATTATCTGAAACAATCCTAATTGTTGATTGACTCAAGAAAGCTGTCTTCTCAGTGAAAAAAAATTTTTTGATTATTTCGATCTGTTCTGACTTGGAGGGGCCCAAGTCAGTTAGTCAGGAATAATCAAAATTTCATAATGCCGGACGTGTCCACCGGCGTTTCAGTCAACTCACTGGACCAATCATCGGGAAGTATTTCCCTCATGGCCCAGAAGGCAACTCTACGGCCCTAGTGACGCCAACAAGCACGCGGTCGAGCACTTGTGGCGTCAGTTAGCTCCAGGCAAATCAAGCGGTCAACTCTGTAGAAAATTACAAAGTCAGTTAGCTCCAGGCAAATCACGCGGTCATCTCTGTATAATTTTTCGCAGTCAAATCGCAGTTTTTTTTGCAGTCAGCTCACCTTTTGTAGTTACAAGTACGGTCAAAGAGACTCAGACACCTCTCACTAAGATACGTGAATCATCAGATTACTCTCATCAGTGCCAGTGGTCCAGTACATTCAGTTGTAGTGTCTTTGGGCGCGAAGCTGAACTGGCGTCGACGCCATAGTGCCTCACGGACATTCACCTATACATCGCTCCCCCGAACAACTCTGGTGTATACTGTGAATGTTGCTATTCACTGTTTTTTGAGACTATGTTATTTGGTGAAAAAATAACCATTGGACAACTCATAAGTGTACAAACAATTATGGTACAGTCAACTCAACTATATGTAGTGATTATTAAATTCTATTGAGTATTTTAAGTGTTATTGTTGAATAAAAACTATAAAACCCAAGCAATTCAGTGTTAATTAACTATATTTTAGAACCTTCTAGCATCCAACCTTTTGTTCTTATTCTGCTCTGAATTCATACAGTCCACTAGTTTTCAGTTTTGCTCATTCGGCCGACTCGAAGTCAGAACACGATCTAATTTTTAACTTGACCCAAGAATATTTTCTACATCGAGAAAGAATTTTTTTCTGTTAAATCGAAGAATTTTTACTTCAATCAAGATCTAAATTAACTAAACTCGAGTCGATGTTTTGCTCTCTTCAAGTAAACTTTCTACTTACCAGAAGTATAATTTATGACTAAACTAAGTATTTATTATACGTAAATTAAACATAATTTTTTCTTATCATAAGTCGAAAATGTACATTTGCTAAGTCAAAAAATTACCTGAAACAATCCTCATTGTTGATTGTCTCAAGAAAGCTGTCTTATCAATTACAGTAGCTGAGCTTTATTTGTCTAAATTGGAAAATAATAGTCGAGGAATTCTCGTAACGGCAGTTGAAGTAGGATGTAGAGTTGAAAATGAAATCCCCTTGCAGCTCGAACAGCCTAATGTTGGTCTGATACGATTACGTTATAGAGGTCTGAAATTTTATGATTATTTTTGTGCTGATTCTACCATCCAAGTTAAAAAGATGTTATTAAAAAAATCAACTAATGTTTATGAAGATGTACATGATGGTGATTGGGATATTCTTAGTATAAATATAGAGAACGAAAATCATTGCTATTATTTATTAGATAATGCAATAGATGATCAATATACAGATATTCTAGCAATACTATTGGAAACTTGTGACACAAAAAATTCATCACGACAGCTTGTAATTCATCCAGCGAATTCGCTGTGTGCACGACCTTGAACGACGGTGGGCAAGATCAGGCAGCACCCATGGTGACGAACGAAGGCAATACTGTTAGCATAAATATATAATAATGTGAGGTTATGCATAGTGCAAGAATGGAGAAAACACGCAGTGGAAATCGCGGATGCTGTATTAAAAGTTGTAAAAATACTTATAATAATACTTCTTCTGAAATTACTTTTTATGGTCTACTAAAGGCTAAATACAAATACCCTCAACGTGAGAAATGGATCCAATGGATTCAAAAAGTGAAGAAAGTTGATGATGATTGCTCTTCACAGTAATATTCAGAATATATCATTCTATAATATTATTCTATACAAGTTAATTTATCGTAGTAATATAATCTTTATAGTAATCGTAACTAATTTAACATTTGTAGTCCCTCTGGTTGGAAATTGACCGAATACTTAAAAATTTGTAGTTCACATTTTATTGAAAATAAATCTTCATCAAATTGGTTTAGTCCAAGTTATGAACCAACAATACTGCATCGTAAAAATAATAAAATACTAGCTAGCGAGAAAATGAAAGTTCAAAGGTAAATATAAAAAAATTAGAATTAATAAAATTGATTTTTTTGCAATAAATAACGTAACTTTTGAATCTTGTTCGTTCATGATTACTTCCAAAACGTTATCTGAAATGATGGCATCACCGAACAAGACCAAGATAAAACAATTAACTCTTATTAATGACCCGGAGAATTCTTCTTGCTATGCTTTAATTGGAAATCCGAATAGTATTCTAATAAATGATAAATTAACTGAATTTGTAATAAGTGGAGGGGACAGTAATGACACATATACCATAAACAATGTAGTAGAGTATGCACCAAATTTAAAGAAGTTGGACATCATTGGTAAGCGTATGATAACAGGTTATTATAACAACATTGAAATAGTCAAGTAATTTGTTCAATTATATTTTAATATACACTCTTCTTGTAGATTTTAATTTCAACAATACCACACTGGAAATTTTTTTGGCTGAGAAATTAGAGTATTTAACATTAAAAAATGTGACTGGACTTAATTCTTCATTTTGGATAAGTCACATTCCAAGGATAAATTCATTATTTTTAAAATTAAAATATCTATCATGCAAGGACTTACAATCATTTATAAATATGAATAGGAATACATTGGAAAAGATTGAATTAATAGGAGTTTATCTATACGGATTGAATATTTTAATTGAGATGATACAGCAAGAACCAACAGATGAGAATGTACAAAAAGAACTTCGTTTGTATATGAATGAAAAGCTAAGAACGAAAATATTGTACATAATGCCAAACAAAAAAATTCCGGAACGACAAATTAAATCAATAGTAGGAGAATCAACACATAAGGTACATTAATATGTCTAAAGCTAAGAGTGATTAAGAAACTAAATTAAAAGTAGTAAATTAACTCCGCACGTTTTTTCAGGATTTAATAAGATCACCATTATCATTGAAGCAAACGAATTATTACGAATTTTAGAATTCAAAAGACAAAAGCATCGCCTTTCCATTGTTCTGTTGGAGTTCTACATTCGTAATAAAATGTGTTCTTATCAATGATAGATATATGTATAGACGACCATTCTCGTTTGAGGTGCTCCAAAGTTAATTGTGCCATTTTAATGTACTTTACTTTAGTTGAAGTCGCTTGAACTGTGAGATAACTTCAATAAAGCAATGACTTCAAGCTACGAAGTACAATGAAATGTTTAATACTTTGGTAAATCATAATTATTTCTTGATAAACACAACTGATTGTTATACTCGATAGTTACCATAATGGTTAAATTACTGATTTGAATAATAAAATTGATGATTAAAAAATATGTTATGTCTTGAGTTAAATGTGTATAATGCCTTTCTATGGACCAATAATTGTCTCTATGTAACTTTTATCATTTTTGAACAATCATTTTAAGTGAACATCTTGATTGTTTGAGCACGCTGTCTTGTTGAACCATTATGATGGACCAGGCATTAATGACGCCGAGTGTATATATCTACCAAAAACAGATATCGTGCGATATTTGTAATAAAACGGCGCCACGTCACTGTTGTTTGAAAATCCGATATTTTCAAATTGTTTTACATGCAAAAAATATTTGAAATTATAAAATTGTTCAAAGTTTGACTTGCCATGTTTAATCAAAATATTAATAAACATTTAATAGCATAAATCTTATTTGGAATTTTCTTTCAAGTGTTCGAAGTATTCAATTAAAACTGCTATCATCGGATGAAAGTAAATTTTTAATAATACCTATATATATCGTAGAAAAATTGTAGAGAGGTCCGAGTTAGATGGCATTTAGGTAAGAGTAGCAAAGATGAGGCTAGAAATCGAGTTGAAATGTGCGAAAAACGAAATTCGGGGCGCCGCCTAATTTGTATCTTGATAAATATTTGATGAAAAAATCTCATTTTGGATGTAAATGAAAGCTAACAGTCATTATTAATTGTGTATTGAAAGTTATTCCGTAATGTTGAATAGTTATCAGGATATTTACATTTCAACATTGCGTCGTGACATCACGCGGGAACTTTTTAGGATAGAGTAGCGGGTTACTCGGCAGTTGATGGATAAGGGGCAGAATGTGCAGGTGACGTTGAAGTCCAATTGTACATATTTTCAAATGTTTAATTAATTATTATTATTTTTCCCTACGCCAAATTATCTAATTATTTCCTTATTCTATTATTTTTATTTGAATTTATGTCATAATAGTTATTTTGAAGACGTTTTTGTATCATTTATGCCGAATTATGATGTCCTTTATTTGTATTTTATGGCGTAGGATAGTAGTCATGAGTTAGTTCAGTTAATCGTCATTCATGCTTCATTCATGCAAACCAAGGCTGCGGGATTCATTTACTCATCAAAGTCAGAGATAGTATTTTCATTAATGCACGGAAAAGCAGAGTTACGATTAGCGAGTAGATTTGTCATCAATATGGACTATTGGTAGGAGAGTTGAGAGGCTGTAGTGAAGTAGAGAACCTGTGGCGTAAAGCCCAGAAACTATTATCTCAAAAAGAAAATTAACTCGAGCACCGAAATGTGAGAAGGGATCAAAACATAACAACTTTCATTCAAATGAAGAAAAATATAACACTGATCTGCGTAAAAATAATGACGGAAAAAGGTAATTGATCACACCGGAGGGATTCTATGTATACTTAATTTATTAGATGTTTATTGTTATGGAACTTTTAGTAAATAAAATACTCTGAGATGTTTGATATACATTATGCTTATTATGGATAAACAGATTTGCCGAATCCCATTTCCAACATTGTCCGAAATTTATTTACCACTAAGCCCTGCTAAAAAACAATTATATAAAGACACTGATGTTGGCATAGTGAGAAAATAGATATGTACTTCAGACAAGCGCCGATTGAATTTTAATATAAGTAGAATAATAATTTGACGGTAAACTTTAAAAATTAGCTCAATCAAAGATAGGCTTGTCCTTACGACAAACATAAAATTCATCTTGTTCTAAGTAAAATGGTTACTTGACGATCAACTCTGAATGTTGTTCTAGTCAAAGTAGAAATTTTACTTGATACAAGAAATCATTTCATTGCTGTTCTAAGTCGAATGATTACTTGATAATTAACACAAAATCTTGGCTCAGAGATAGTAAAAGCTTTACTCAAGATTAGAAAATATTTCATCTTATTCTAAGTCAAATGATTTCTTGACGGCCAACACAGAAATATTTCACGTTGGAGTAGAAGTTTTGTTTGTGACTACAATTATGCCTACTTATCTCAAGTAAAAAATAATCTTACTCGCCAAGTTAACTTTTACTTGTTATAACTTAAATATTTCTTGAATTAAATCTTTATTTACTTAGACTCAGTGATTCTTATTCTTGAATCTCGTAGTTTTTCTGTTTTGTCTTTTTTCTAGTTTGTATACAGAAAAAAGTTCTCTCAGTATACTTTCTTACGAAAATAAGCTAAACACAAGAAATATTTGAAACATATATTATTTATCATAAGGTAAAAAATATATACAGAGAAAAAATAACGTGCATACAACTTTATTTTATTAATATTTGTAGTAAATACAACTACGCAATAAAATAAAATTTACCTTACTCTTCACGCAGAGAAATGTATAGCAAAAATTACCATGAATTTTATGGTAATTTGATGACACTGCAGTGTGAGAGTAAAAATCACTATGCACATTGTAAAAATTCATATGCAGTAAATGTACAATTCTAAAAGTACAAGTTTGTAAGGTGTAAACTATGTTTGTTATTTTAATTAAAACAACAGAATGTGAATATTATCTAATTGGGATCATTTATTTTTAAGTTCCCATGAAGAAGTTATTGTAATGGAGTCAATTTTTGAAATTCGTAATTTTATCATATCTTTACGTTTTGAGACATATGAAAGCATATTTGAAGGTTTAAACATGGATGTACGTATGTACGTACGTATATTCGTACGTCAGGTTTTTTTTTCGTTTTTGAAGATTTCGTATGAAGAAGATCTGAAATAGTTTGAACAAATTCGGTTCAGCCGTTTTTTTTTAACAAAAAGAGTGTAAAATAAGTTGAGTAAAGAAGACATTTGAAATAGATTCTACTTATTAGATAATTAACATGATTGACAACTGAGGCCAATATAATATGGTTGTTAATAACTTTACATGACTCCGGACAATTATGTATTGTTTATAACAAATTCAATTTATTATAAACAATTGAAAATGGTTTCAGTCTATTAAATTATTATGACAATGATTATATTCGATAAATATCAACAAATATTGTTATAAATATCTTGATGTGATTAAACAATTGTATATTGTTTATAATAATAGTAATTTTTTATAAACAAAAAGACTAAAAGATGACAAAATTAGGGATTTCAATTAATGAGAAGTTCGTCGTCAGGCACGAACTGAGCTCAGACCCATTTTTTTATTTTAAATTATTAATCGTAGTTAAAAAGGTATTGTGAACTTGAATTTTTTTTTGTTCAAATTAACTTGTGAGTTAAGCGGATTCGAACCTACGACTATTTGGATGAACGCATCTGAAACTAACACCTTGGCCCGCTCGGCTAACCGAATAATTAATGTCAAAACGAAATTAGGTCTATCTGAATGCATATGTTTTAATAATAAGTATCAAATACTCTAGCGCTAGTAATGTTTACCATACTAAGCAGTAAGAAAATGGGCACATTAACTCAGAGTATTTTATCAATCAGATATTCTCAAAATTCTACAGTTTTACCTTACTGTAAAGTACTTTTTGATTTCATTTACTCAGAAAAAATATTTTACTTTATAATAAAGGTTAAACTAAGACAAAAATGTCAATAGTACATTGTTAACCAACAGAGCAAAGTATAATATTCTGATCTGGGTAACAAACACTCAGGTAAGGATATCTTACTTTGTTCCCATGGGCGACATACTATTTTTTATCATTGTCCAAAATTAAAATTTGTTGTCTTTTTTGAGGTTGGAGAAGTGACCTTCTCTATCTCGCAGATAAAGATAACACCCGCCTGGGCATGTGCACAGAGATAGCGGGTATCTGCTAGTCTAACAATTAGATATATCTATGTGTATTTTGATGATAACTAATCTATATTTTTAAAATGTTTTTTATGAATCTAGAAAAATGTTCCATTATTTCAGCTGCAAAATATCAACTATTGACCTGTTATTAGTATGTTTTAATAAGATGATACATGCACGTAATGTGAAACTCAACTACTCATTAGTTTCTGCTGCGTATTTTTCTTTTCATTGTTGTATGGCCAATGAAACACGAATTTAAGTTCTACTTCGAGTTTATTAAAACTTATTAGTTCGTACAGGTTACAGTTGTTCTAATATAAAATAGTATGATTTAGAAAATAGAAGACAAGTAGACAGGTTGGTGTCTTAGGAAAGAGTGTTGGGGTTCCTCAAAATAGGATATATTTATGGGATCAAATTCAGGATAGAAGAGGTTCTTGTTTGGTGACGTAAGGCTGTTTTTTTGGTTAGTGAAACTTTTACAATAATAACATTCATTAACTATTATTTAAATATTTTTATTGCAAATAAATTTTTTTATTAAATTGAGAGAATTAATATTTGACTGCGAACCAATACCCGATCACTCGTATATTTGTATATCTCTATATAGAAGGCTCCCAACACAAAATATGAAGCGTGATTGAGTATCTATTGGTTTGTGGTAGAAAATTGGGTATCTTACCATAATATCAAGATTATTATTTTCATATTTTTAAAAAGCGATGAAATTTTTGTTTTTGAGTCACAAATGATTTAACAACATAATGCTTTGCAGTTGGTGTGTCAAAATGAATGGTTGCATTACTGCTTATACAATGCAACTGTCGCAAATAACATGCCATGTTTCAAACTACAATAGTTTCTACAAATTGTTACAATATTAATTATCATTGATCTTTTTATTTGTGGTTTGGTTACTACTATAGTAAATCAGATTTAATCCGTTCTCACTAATTTTAGTTTCGACCATTCATTTGTATCATTCACAATAGAGTATTTACAGTGATTTATTAAGGTGAATTTATTTTCGACTTTTTAGTCTACATTCATTTTTCATTATTGTTTCTAACAGTAAGTATAACGTAAATGTTCTGTAAGATTTAACTTTAGGATTTCGTTCAGTCAGTAATAAAGAGAGTATTTTATTTTATTTACAGAAAAAAATTGTTCAATCATCATTCGTAATGCCGATTTATTGTTTAAATGAATATTAAAATCGAATAAAATACTCATCTTTTGTATGAAAATTTGTGAATTTATTGCATGATAAATAAACAAACTCAATTTCAACGCAATTCTGGCAGAAAATATCTATTGAAATAAACTAAAAGAATTACTTCAGCAAAAAATCGCATTTATTTTTCCAAAAAATAATTTTTACCAGTGGGATAATTGTTAATGCATTTACAACTTACTCTCTGATCATCCAACCTAAAGTAATTATTGCTCGGAGATTTTTCCATGTTCTCGTTACATAACGACAAATGAAAAAATTCAACAAATTTGAATAAATTGAGTTTAATTTAACCTTTAGAGAATACAAATTTTTCTTCAATTATTTTCATCTATAATTAAAGTTGAACCAGTGTGCAAAGTTGTCTCAAATAATTTTTCTTCATATAACTATACAAAACAGATTTATCATTAATTTTTATTTCACTCGAATGCTCTGTAAATATTCTGAAATATACATGAATGTATTTCTTAACGGTCCATTCATGTTGAAGTTTTTCAATGACTTCCGATGTTTGGTATGAGTAAGGAAGAATCTGTTTTGGACATTGGTGATGCACTGCTGCATGTGCAAACTTCATATAAAGTGGCCATTTCACGCCAACTGCATCTGAGTATCCTCATCTACTGGCGTTCTGAATACGATCTCAAGGAACATTTTATTTGAACTTTAATGAAAGTAAGAGACAATATTTGTTTACCTTTATTTTACTGTGTTCTCATTATTGTCAGTACCATGTGAACTTTAACCATTGTCATTTATTTGTCATCCGAAAATGTCAACATTTTTATTTTACTGTCATATTATCAACGATTATATAAAATTACAATTAAATGAAAAAAACTTATCTGAAGAAAATCTCGTTTATTTTTACAATAATCAAATTGATAATTTAATATTTATGAACTTTCTTCTCCACGGAAAAAAGGATTTAGTAAAAAATATTCTGCAGTTCAGTCATATCAAGTATTGAAAATAATTTTGAGAAGAGGCCACTTGTATATATTAAAATTATTTTAGAGTCATCAAAAATTGTATATAGATTTATGCAACTTCTTCTCGTAGTTATTACATCAATTTTTTGTGGCTAAAGCATTAAACAGATACTAAATGTTTTTTACGAGACAAGCTTCTATATTTTTTAAAAATCAAATTAATTTTAAAGAAAAAAAAAGTTTTTTGCCAATTCACTATCGCTTTATTAAAAATTTTTTTTTCATCTTACATTTTTATATAAATTAAACAGTAATAGGAATCTATTGAGTACTTCTGCTCTATCGAAAGCAATAAATATTCTCCCGTTCCAAAATCATTTTTGAAATTCTTTCATTTTTCAAAAAAAATTTTTTTTTTTTATATTGAGCTCCTTAAACCAATACGGGTTTATTTTGGCTATGCCAATATACAAAAAGAAGTATACATATGTACAGATACAAAATAGAAAAATATAGAAATATACAATGTTATGTTACATAGGTAGATGAATAGCTTACAGATACAGTTTGCAATTCACGAGGTATTTGACAAAACATAAACACACGGAGATATTTGGCTTTTTGAGCATTGCTTGAAAATCAAGCTGATTGTGAAGCTTAAGTTTTTTCAAGTCGTTAGAAAGTACTTTACGCTGGCTGGTGTATACATCGCAGTGCCATAATACGTAATCCAAGTCTTCTACATTCTTGCTGCATTTGCAAAGATCGTCATCGACTATGCTTATGCGCTTAAGGGATACCCCAAGGTTAAAATGATTGGCTCTACATCTATTTATAATAACTATTGTCTCTCTGTTGAGACCTTTGTAGGAGAACCACGGTTTGGGACCAACATTATAAAACTCCTAGAAGTATATCTTACCCTTGGTCGCGAGAGAGCTAGAGAGGCTCTTTAGAGCACTAAGAGAGTCAGAAAAGATATGAAACTTAGTATTTACATTTTGACGGACAAGGTCCAGAGCATCACTCATATCAGGGCGACGCACTCCGCAGTGAACACTGAGGCTTTAGGATGTAAAGATCTTGTTTTGAGGTAATTTAACTCCGGGCAAAAGCAGGCAGACCTCACGGATGGGTTACCCGGTGTCTTACTGCATTTTTCAAAAATATTATATCTTTTATAAACAAATATTAAAATCAATCTTATAATTTTAATAAAATAGTCATCAATATAATAGGGCCTAAACATAAGATTTTTCATTTTTTAATTCTACACTAGTATATAAATCTATGCGTTTATCCACTGAACAAAATATTTCAGTTATTTATTGACACAGCTTTATTTTATTTTTACAAAGCAGACCTAACTTTAAAACCATTGACAGAATCACACAGAGGTTTGCGATAGTATTTAATTAACAAGAAAGTGTATATGAGTGAAAAATACTATAGACATGCAGGGAAACTACAAGTCAAAAATAAGGAGGAAATAACAAGAAAATTATAGGATAAAATTAACATATTCATAAAAAAAGATTTAATTACAAATAGTACATTAATATAAGCAGAAATGACTTTTAGTTTTCTTTAAAAACAAAAAATTAGTATAAAAATTAAAATAATAACAATAAAATATGTATTGTTGTAATACAAAAAATAAATAAAATTGAATAATTGACACCGAACGATAACATGCGATGATATACATATAAACTCACCGCATGAGACAGAAAATACTGTAAAGATGAAGAACAAGAAGCGCGTGGGCGTTAAGACAGCACGATTTTTCCCGGAGGAGTGCATTTAGTTAAGATGAATTTTCATTTATTTCTTATCGTAAAATACATCCAAGATTGTGAAACGCAACGCGCGATCACTCGCGTGGTTCTAAACTAATGGTTTGACGACTCGAGATAGTTTTGCAGTCTCAAGGCTTCAATACATTGAAGAATTCAGGCGCTTGCTCATATCAATCCCCTCTTATCCCACAACAGCATCCACTTTCTTCCTGACAACATTTCATCTTTCTACTTCACTTCCTTTTTTCAATGATGTACGTATACCTTAAAATTGAAATTTCACGACTTTTCTCTCTCCTAATAAATTGAATTGAGCAATCATTTAAAGCTAAATTTCGTAATTTACACGCTCATAAATTTAAATAAACAAAAATATAATATTCAAGTCACAACAATATTCTGACCAACAGAAAAATTATAAATAACAATTGATTATTAACGACATAATCTGTTTATTAAGTCATGAAATTACTGATAGCTTTTATTGACCTCATATTATTGCGATATTCATTATAAATAAGATACGGAATTTATAAAGATACGTGATTTTTCTAGTTCAATATTTATCTTATTAACGTTTACTTAAAGGAATTGGCCAGTTGTCATTTTAACTTTCGTTAAGTAATCATCTACACTTGAATCGATCCTCTGTATTTTTATTGCTTCAAAATGTACGGACAACCAATTCCTCGAAAAGAAAAGTTGGTTGACAATGACTCTCTTAATAACTCTCCACCAGATAGAGTAAGTTTTGATGAATTTATAACAATTAATCATAAAAACAAAGAACTCAATATTTTCTTAAATATAAACCGAAAATTTTCATTACACGCAATTATCGTTAAAAACTATCGTGATTTAACATTTGGATTTTATTTTTCATTATTATTATTGATTTTTATTATTTTGACTTAATGTCTGGCTCAATTAAGATGAAAAATTACATCAGCTTCAAATTGAAAACAAAATGCTATGCACTTGACCAACAGTCAATAAAATTACGAAATAATTGAAGCTGATGTAAAAATCAAAATTGATTACATATTACAATGTGTAAACATCCATTCCTTCGTGGTACTATAGAAAAAAACTACAAAAACAAATTACCATTTTCTTTAATTAAATTTTGTTTTAAATAAATTTTATTTTTTTCACCCAAGTTAAAAAATATAAATAAGAAGTATGAAAAAAAATAAACTCGCATATGTATATCTATTTCATCAAAAAATATGAAGACATGTTGATGTAAGTTGAGTAGCCGAGAAAAGTCAAGTGAGTGGTAAAAGTGTCGAGAGTGGTCGATATAATAATGGAAGGGGGATTTTCTTTCTATAAAATAGTTTAGGTAGAATGAATATATAATAGTCTCACATCAGCATTTTTATTGATCTTATAATTTTATCCTTCCAAAAGTTTAAAGATTAATTCCGAAAAAATCTTTAAAAATCATTTTTTGATTAGAATTAATAATTAAACTTAATTATCAGTGTTTGACGACAAATTCAATTATTGAATCATTCATTCTATAGTATTTTATTACATTTTTATCTCTGAACTGAAAAGAAATAAATAAATAATGATAAGTTCAGTGCCATTTAAAATTCCAGTTGATGTAAGAATTTTTAATAAAATAATGATAAAAAAGCATTAAAAAAAAGTAGAAAAGTAAACAATATCTATACTTTCAGCCTAAACTTATGGAGGGAGGTAATTATATCAAAGAAGGAAGAGATTCTACCAGAAGTACATGCTTAATCTTTTCACCCACAGATGAAGATGAAGTCGGAGCTCTAGGAAAATATCTCCAAATATTCAGTGTATTTAATGTTCTTTTTTTCTAATTTTTAAATAATTAATTTGTATTTATTTAACATTGAAATATGTATTTATGTGCTTTAGCTGTAATTATTTATTTACACACTGAAAAATCTTATAAATTAATATTTGTATGGCATAGATATTGCAAACAGCAAATTTCACTTTTTTCTTTCAAGAAATTAAAACGTCTCACAGTTGTCAATCTTAATATTAGGTTTCACTTTAGAACGCACTGATATATAAATTTGTTTTTATTCTATTTTAAAGTTACTTTTTTTTATTTAAAGAAAAAAGAATATCTTTATAAATAATGTAATTTCTACATAATTTTAGATAGAAAAACAAAATTGTTAGCCAAAGGTTCATTTTGATGTTTATCATGGTGAACAGTTATCATATGAAAAAAAATGATGACAAAATGAACATTGAAAAATGTATATAAATATGTAGAAAAAAAGTAAACATTATATGAATATTTGAGTAACATGTAAAAAATGATATACTCTTGATTATTACTTTTAATTAAATAAAAATAATAATAATAACTTTTAGGAGCATCAGGTAAACCTGTTACACATTGAATCACGAAGTTCTTTACGTAAAACCAACAATTATGAATTTATGGTAGAATGTGCACCAGGAGGAAATCTCGGAGCTGTCATTGAAGCTGTCAGAACTCAGAGCAGTTACTTTTCTATCATATCCAGGTTTAAAAAATATCAATAAAAAAATTATCTAATTGAGCTATTTTCAGATTTGATTTTAAATAAGTATATTAAAATTTTTTTTATTGATGAAAAAAAAAATTAATTTTACTAATTTGCCATTTAAGAAATCATGAAAATAATATGGATACAGTACCTTGGTTTCCAAGGAGAATTCGAGACTTGGATAAGTTTGCCAATCAAATACTTTCTTATGGCTCTGAATTAGATGCTGATCATCCTGGATTTAAAGACCCTGTATATCGAAAGAGGAGAAAGTATTTTGCTGATCTTGCCTATAATTATAAACAGTAAGTATTTATTTCAAATGATTTAAACATATTTTTATGATCACTCTTTGTCTCGAAATAAAATGACTCGATATTCTTCAATAAAATTTTAGTTAGCTTTTTCTGATTGCAATACGTTTCGAAGTTTATTGATCGAAAATTATAATACCAGAAAAATTAATGAACCAGCTTACATGCATACATATACCACACATAGATACCCATTATTAATAATTTATAATTATTTCAGTGGTCAACCAATTCCACGAGTAGAATATACTGAAGAGGAAATTAAAACTTGGGGAGTAATTTTTCGAAAATTAACTGAATTGTATCCAAAATACGCTTGTAGAGAACACAATCACGTTTTCCCTCTTTTGATAGAAAATTGTGGTTATAGAGAAGATAATATTCCTCAGTTAGAGGACATTTCTAACTTTTTAAAAGGTACATAAAAATGATTTTGATGAATATTTTGAATTCTAATTATGTTCTATTAATTATAATTTTACATTTATTTAATTTTCTTCAATTATAATCTTTTTACATTATTCTTAGACTGCACAGGATTCACTTTAAGACCCGTTGCGGGATTATTATCATCCCGTGATTTTCTGGCTGGTCTTGCTTTTAGAGTATTTCACAGTACACAATATATCAGACATAGCAGCAAACCACTTTACACGCCAGAACCTGATGTTTGTCATGAGGTTCTGGGTCACGTTCCAATGCTTGCCGATCCGGCATTCGCTCAATTTTCTCAAGTTATTGGACTGGCATCTCTTGGTGCTCCTGACGAGTACATTGAGAAACTAGCTACTGTAAGTTTATTTCAATAACTTTACATTAACATATTTTAATGACATATTTAGTGTCTGACACCAACAATAATGCCGATGAAAGTACATTAGATTTTAATTTTAAATGAAATGTGTATATTATTCAGAATATCTATTATGATAAAATTTTTATTAACTCGAACATTGATAATTGTGATACTGTTGTTATTGATAAAAATCAACAATAAAGTGCACAAAAAATTCAATGGAAGCTGAATGCAGACAATTTAGAAATTCATATAAAATATATTCAAAAAAGATCAATTTGTAAAAATTATTATTATAGAATTAATTATTTGTTTTGTATGTTTCTTTTGGTCAATTTTTTATTTATCATTCTGAAGTTTAGATTTTATTTTGTTAATTCTTGAATGAAACATTTCATAATTGAAAATGAATTACTTTAAATCGCTATTTGTAGTGGCTTTCAGTGATTCCCCCCAATTCATTTGTAAAGAATACTCGTTAAAAAGTTAGTAGTGTGAAATTGTTTAAATTTTAAACTTGATCAGATTATATTTGTATTGAAAATAATTCTTTTCGATGCATTACTAAATTCTTTTATTTCCTGAATAATAAATGTAAAATAATAATTTTTGTATTTACTTAAAGAGCTAATAGCCTTTCAATTTTGAAATATTATTTGTTAAATTGTTATTAAATAATTTATTTAATTCTTGTATAAATTAAAAATGTAAAATGCATGATAAATGTTTCCATTATTTAGTGCTTTTGGTTTACTGTTGAATTCGGATTATGCCGACAACAAGGAGAATTAAAGGCTTATGGTGCTGGTTTGCTATCTTCATTTGGAGAATTAGAATATGCTCTAAGTGGAAAACCAGAACTTCGAGCTTTTGAACCTGCTAAAACTGCTGTACAAAACTATCCAATTACAGAATATCAACCAGTATATTTCGTTGCTGAAAATTTTGAAGATGGTAAAGAGAAAATGTTGTAAGTACAATTATTTAATAATTTGGAAGTGTATTGATGAATCGAATGATTTAATGGAATCTATTATTTAGGAAATTTGCACAAACTATACCGAAAAAATTTGGAGTACGATACGATCCATACACTCAAAGTATCAGTATAATTGATAGTAAGCATCAAATTGAAGATTTAATAACAATTGTAAATTCAGAAATGGAAATATTGATGGATGCATTGAAAAAATTGAAGAATTAATAAAATATTAATATTCACCGATTTATTATTTTTTTTTTTAAGAAAATTGAGCTCAATAATGATGTTAAACTAAATATAAATGTAATTGTTATAAATATTTGATACAAAATTTGAATTCATTAATGTATGTTATCACATGAAATATCCAAATACGAGAGTTAGCTTGATTCGGCGTTTATTGATTTTCACATAATGTAGTTGAAAACAAAAATAAATATTACATTTAATTGATATTTAATTTATATAAATTTTTATATAAACGCCCGATTAATATACTTTTAATAATTTACAATATTTTTCTTAAAAATATTTTTAGAATAACAATTTACATATTTGACATCTATTTACATTTATTTACGATTCATATAATATTTTGTTAATATTATGTATTGTTATTTTTCTATGACATTAAAAAAATTTTTCATTAAAAAATATCTTATTTTGTACAATATTGTTTATTGTATATGATTTTTTCATCATAAAACTTCATTTATTCACTGAATAGTTTTATTACAATTAATGAATAATTAGAATATTTTTACCGTAATGAAAAATGATTTATTACAAAATATATGTTAAAAAAATTATAATTATGATTAAACAATGAATATCATAATTTTCAAAGCAAATAATTTTTTTAGCAATCAATAAACACGATCTGATCCAACATTAGTAATATAATTTAAAATTAACAGTCTTAAGTGGCTCATTTAATTTAATTGATCATAGAATAAAAGGTATATGATCAATTTTTTAAATTTTTGACGATCGATTGTTATTTTATACTTAAAAATATCTCATCTGTTTATGAATGAAAATCGGTGTACAATATAATATTTTTCATTAGTAAAATATTTCAGGTTTCCATCATTACTTACTAAATCAATCATTGATTAAAAATTTTCATCACAAATAAACACATTTGACTTTGGTTTAAATTTTTTTGAAAATATTTTTTTAAATTATTACTTTTCTAATAGAATTGCAAATGAATAATAAAGTTCATAGAAAATGGCACAATAAATTTAAGAAAATAAATAAATCTTGAATTATTTATTATTGGTTTATACTAGAGCGATTTTGTCTTGTAACTGATGGCTCAACATTGCTGTAAATCATTTCTGATTGTTGGCACAATTGAAAAGGTATTATATGACTCCCATGATTATCCTGATGTATTGCTTGGGCTTGTTGAATGTGCTGAATTTGTTGAGATTCATGCCGTGGCAACTGTTGGGTAGCATCTTGAGATAGTCGTTGTTGAGTTATGTATGAAACTCCAGGATTTACCTGAAGTGTATCAGTAACTCGAGAAGTAATTACAATGGGAGCTGCTACAGGAATAACGGTAGTAGAATGTGGAAAAGTTTCCATAGGAACAATCGGTAATGGAAGAGTTACAGGAACTGGTAAAATATTCATTCCTGTCACAGTTTCAGCTTCTTGTGAAGCATTTCCGCTTGAAGGATCATCGCATGTCGTAGGCTGTTGACAAGGATTCACATTATACGGTAAATTAACATTTATTAAAGGAGGTAATGTACCATATCTTGCGATTAATAATTGCTCAGAAACTCTTCGAAGTTCTTCTTGTTGATGAACAATTAACTGTTGAAGTTCTTCATGTTTTCGTTGAAGTTCGTCTTGTATTTGGTTTTGGGTTCGAGTCAATACAATATTTTGTTGATTCCCTAATGTTATATTACTGGGAAGAGTAATAGGAACTGTTGGGACCGCAGGAACAAGAAAACTTGTCGTAGGAATGTTTGATAAAATTGGATTATTTGGAAAACTTGTAGGCTCCGTGTATCCAGAACATGTGAGATCTACTTTTGGTTGACTATGTTGTTGAGGTGATGTTTCAGGTTGAGGCAATGGTGTAGAATTATTTCCAGGAGTAACTTTTTGCTTATTACTATGTGTAGTAAGTGATGTTGATTGCCGAGAGCTATGAGATCTATGAGATATTGAAGTAGTATCTGAACCTCCACCATGATAAGTGTTTCTAGAAGGAGTCATTCCTGATCTTGATGCTTTCCACGATTTCGGAGACCAAGTATTAGTTGGTGTTTGTTGTGGAGTTGATCCTTGCTGAATTCCCGACGATGAAGTAGTTGTTTGATTAATCATCGCGTCATCTTTAATATTTTTAATTTGTTTTATGACTTCTGTGTAACTAACAACATTATGTGTACAAACTATAAACTCCGGTTTAGAATTCCATTGATTATAATCTATGTAAAAGCGAGTCTGTAGCCAAATCCATTGCTGACCTTTAGTGAGAAATCGATAATGGCAAGAAGTACCTTCACCTTTTTGCATGAGAGATTCATGACATGTCACAACTTTATCTAGGTCATCAACATGATAATAATCATAACCTGAAGTTCCCAAAACTTCGAATGGAAGATATCCAATAATAGGTGGTGCACGATGATCCAAAAACAAAAATTTCCATTCTAAACTATGTCGTGATGTAAATTCTGACTTACTACCATCAACTAGAGACATATCTTGGATTAAGTGTGGGGTTAAAAGACGTCCTGTTCCTACAAAAACTATTTTAGGATCATTGGTGATATTATTTCCATATCTGCTACTTGGTATTAATGATTCAATGTCTATATCTGAACGAAAATATCCCACAAATCGAACTCTCTCATATGTTGGTTCTTCTTGGAAATCTAAACTTCCTCTTTTTATATGACAAGTAAATGACACTTGATTTTCTTCTTTAATTCCTTGTTCTCGAGTTGTCGTGGGATTCAGTAAGATATTGTAGAGTAAGGATTGATCCTCCTCATAAGTTATTTCGTATATCGTTGAATTTGAAAGTTCACTTGGTAGATAACCAAGAAGTGAAGTTACACTTTCTGATGCATAATAAATTCGTCCGTTAGATGAAAATACCATTATAAAACCATCAAGAGCTTCAAGAATAAGATGAGTAAATTCTTCATTTGATAAAAATGATGGCTTCCAATCTTCTTGAATTTCATGAGCTCGTGATCTCACAGCAATTTCTACAACAGAAAATCAAACATCATCTTAATCTCATTAAGATGGTGCGTATAAATATTTTTATTTGAGTACTACCATTATGATTTTTCAAAAACAATATCGTAGATTTCAAAACTGTTGATTTATCCATCTTTCTTGTATTAGTGCTCACCATACTTCCAAGTTCATTGACTAACATATTAAATTGATCTCGTCTTTTTTTTTCACTCAGATTTCTTGATTTTCTAAACAAAATCATTTTACATATTAATTACAATATCCTTTTTACACAAATATGTAAGTACAATCATTTTAATTTATTCAATAGGTACAACTTACCGTTTTGTATCATCTTTATCGTCATTATCATCATTCATTGTTTCACTGAAAATAAAATAATTTCAATAATAATGATCATTTGTTGAATATTATTATTATTATTATTATTATAAAAATCATTGTAAGTAATTTTAAAACTATACAAATTGTTATAGTGTGTAAGATATAATAAACAAAATAAACAGATTGTATTAGCACGTGAAACATAATTTGATAATCATAGTATCAAGTTACATGATTATCTAATTTATATGAGTCAATAAAAGTTTGATAAACAAAACATTTCTGACGAGACATTTACATAGATATTAAGTTTGGAATTAATGAATATTAGAAAACAATGTTACATTTAATTTCACTATTTTGATTCCATAACATGAAATTCTTAATCATATTCCAACTATAACATGTTAAGTTTTCTTGAAGGGAATATTTTTTAATAATTTTTCATAAAAATATAAGATTAACTTTTACAAAATTTTCATATTTACAATAGCCACGAAGTTATACTCCAGTAATTAAGCAAACTTACTCGGATTGTCGTGCAGAACCAAGTCTGACGTAACTGGCCATTGTCAGGTGTGAATGTTACGAAGGGTTTATGTAGCGTTGCCAGTTTAAGTAATAAACTTTTCTCAGTAATTTATTATGTTAATTTTTTTACAACATTCATTCAAGTAGATACTTAATAAAACTTTTTATAATATTTTCATGTTCACTTCAATTTTATCTAGCAAAATAATATTTCATTTGTGGTAAAATTTTGAAAACAAATACACACAATGGCGTCAGTTATGGTATAACTAAATAATGTTGAATTTGGATTATTACAACATTTACAATCACATTCTATGTTCATTAAAACATGATTTAATACAACATCAACACTTTTGTATTTTCAATCGTCACATCATATGACAGTTTAAAATAATAACGATTTTTAAGTAATATTTTTATGAAACACTCAAGTTGTCATACAATGTGTAGAACTGATGTACCGATAAAACGTCGTATAAATTTTAACAACTTTACGAAAAAAGTACATATAAGAATATGTAGTTATCTAAACACTTGTATCACTACAGTTATATGCAGTCTTTCTAACTGTATACAGAACAACTAACTGCATAAGAGAAAAGTTACTAGGCCATACACGTTCATTTGCAGATTCTGTAACGCGGATTTTTCGCTACTAGACTTTCATGTTCTCCCCCCGTAAGCTTATAATTCAATAGAGAAGGGGAATGGAGATTGCGCACAATTTTCTTACAAAACTAAACGCGGGATCAGATTTATATTACATCACTATTGATAATCATATTTGATCATTCTCAACACTAAAAAATAAATTGTAAAGGACGATTAATTTTTTTATAATAATAATAATTTTTTTATAAAAACTTAAAAATCATTATTTTTCTTTATTTTTTATACATCATGTTACAATCATCAGAAAAAAACAAACATCTCTTCATCAATAAATTACTAGAGTGTGGTAGTTGTTGATTAATCAATTTACTTTAAATATCTTTAAATTTATATGTGAAATAATGTTTTATATTACAAACGTCTTTCGAAGTCTTCTCAACTAATTCGTGCACTCCAATTCTATTATCCTTCGAAGTAGATGAATTTATCATTGAATCAGTTTTATTACATTCAACCATTTTTGGCCTCATCTTATTTTTTTCCAATTGCGTCATTTCGTCAGAATTTACTTTTATTCCAGAGTTTAACTTAAATTTCACACATGATTTTATGACTTTCTGTGATTTAAAATCATCTTTAGTGCATGAAATATTGAATATTTCATTCGGATAATTTATTATATCTATAACTTTAGCCTTTTTCTTTAATTTTACTCGTATTTTTGAACAATATTTACTCGCCCCTTCATGCTCATAAGAATCGATCATTTTTTCACATTGATTCATTGCATTCAATTTTATTAGTCCATATGTAACTTTAATTTACTTTCTGGAAAATTCTGTGAATATAGACTTGAAAGAATATTCAATTTTCACATCTAAAATATGTAGTTTATTTTTGAAAAAATAATAAATATAAAAAGCTGATTTAATGATTCACTATTTGAATACAATACCAATCACCATTAAATGTTTCAAAAATACAGATCTTTTATTGAATTGTCAATGCACATAACCAAGGATTAAATTAAAGTTAAAAAAGAATTGAAAATAATAAAATTATAATCTAATAAAAAACAAATTTCATTCGTTTCACATGTTTTTATTACAATAGTTTGATATGAAGAAATGAAGATAAATATATAAATGTCGAAGTAAAAATGGAAAGTCAAATGGCATCATATTATTCATATTTTAATATTTAGTAATTATTTTAATAATTTACAAGGAAGGCTATAGAATAATATCACAATGCATGATTTATAACTTTAATTATTTAAATAGTATGAAAAATGTTTATGAATTATGCTTTATTTAGGTGCGTAAATCTAACGTGTATAACAATTTTAATTTATTTTTCTACTCTAAAGTCAAAAGATTGAAAAATTTCATTTAAATTTGACAGTTAAATTCAAAAGTTAAACAGAGTGCAAAAGTTTAGACGTACACATATTCATTGATCAACAATTTATTAATAATAAAAGATACTAGTTAATTCTTAAAATATGTTAAGTCTTTGAGATGTATATTATAAGATTTAATTATGCTTAGTTATAACTAAACGATTGATATGAAATTTCAATGCAATACATTCGATAATCTAGTTTATATGATATCTACGATAGATAAATGACAGCTCTTGAACTAAAACTTGTAAAAAATTTTATTCTAGATTTATGTTTATTCACAAAAATGTGTCATTGTTTACTTTGGATCATTTTTATGAAAATAGTCGTTTCATTCATTCATTTTATTATATTCTAAACTAATAATCCTGATCAATGAAAGGCAAGAATAAGTTTTTTTTATATAAATTTCCAGAATGTTATATAAAATAAACATTTTACTATGTATTCCATTTAATTTTTAAATGTTTTGTTAACTCCTATTTTTAAAACGTTTTTTTCTATTAATTGTTTGAAATAAAATTTTATGAAATTATGTTTCTTTTAATAAATTATTGCCACATTGCTGATTTTTTAGACCTTTAGCGCACGTAGTTGTATACATAGATTGCATGTATACATAAAGGAATATTACAGTATATGTACAACTTGAGTATATATAGTAGACTGTGAATGTGTAAATATTAAATAGTGGAAGAACAGATTTGCGTATTGCATCGAGTATAATAATTTAAAATGCTGCAAGAAAAAATTAATCTTCTAGATATGTCTTACAAAATTTGTACGATCCATCAATTCAAATTTTTCAGTAAAGAAAAATAGAAAATAGCTATATTTTTTCTATGTTCTATCTAATCGATTTATTATCTATTTAATTTATTCCAATATTTTAATCATTCAGTTTACTAATTTCATTGTATCATTTTTTCTGACAACATTTTTGTATTTAAAAAAATTTTATTATTTAAAATAATATCCGACAATCATTGAAAAAATTTATCTAAGAGTTATTTTTTATGGCAAAACATATTTCTAATAATTAACGAAGTTATTATCAATCTTATTATCGCATGAAAATGTAGTGACAAGTTTTTACATTAAAAAATAAAAGATAAAATTATAATTATAATAATAATCATAATATTAACAGTATTAAAAAGTAATAAAAAATAATTAGGAGTGTTGGATGACTGGAACAGCAGAATCGGAAATGTCATTTCCATCTTGACAAATACTAGATGTCGTCGTAGTATCTTCAGATGGTGTTGAAGTAATTGTTAACTGTCTCTTTTCCATATGATTTAAAGTCTTTTCAATGGCTCTCAGTCGTTTCTCCAAGCTTGTGGTCCCTAAGATACCAACTTGTAATTGTAATCCAAGTGGTAAAATCGCTAAAATCCACCAAGTCCATGATGGTCCATCAGGTAACCGCACCCAATCTTCTTCTGGAATTGGCATTGTACCAAAAACCCGTTGAATCTCATCTTGTTGAGTTAAAGGTACGCTTGACCACCATTTTTGGCCTTTTGACCAAACCTGTAATAAAATGAAATATTAATTTTTAGCAACTAACAAAACATAAAATATTGTATTTATGAATTTTTATTAATATTTTTTTTTAAATAAAAACAAATTTAATTGGAATTTGATTTCTTATGATAATATATCATAAATACTGTATGAAAAAATAACAAAAATATTAAAAGTACCTTATCGTGAAGTTCTCTTAAAGTAAAAAGGCATTCCGAAGAAACTAATGAGTCGCGAATTAATTCAACCTCTGCAGTATCATAACCATCTCGTTCACCTCCAGAAACAACTCTAAATCTTCTTCCTCCTACAGTACTAAGAATACTACATCCATCTTTCATTAAAACTCGATCCTTTATCTCCAAAACAGTCCCATATTCGGCATATCTATAACAATAATAAATAATACAATTCATACAATCGATAAATCATAATCGATCACCGCAATTTAGATTGTTTGGTAGTAAACTAAAATTGAAAATAATAGTTACTACTCACCGTTTTCTACCTGTAGCTTCTTTGTTGAGACAGGCAGCAATGCCAAATCGTCGGACTCCACTCTCTACACATCTTCGTACCATCAGTCTATATCTTGGTTCGTATACAAACAGAGGACATGCTACACATGGGAATGCAGTTGTACATACAAATACGGCAATATGTTGATTTCCTAAAAGTCCTAAATCTTGAATCAATTCAAGCCTATGATTTGCAGCACGTGAAGCATATTCAATCGGCGCTATTGTTTTCAATGCTTTTTCTACGAAATCTGTTACTGTCTTCTGATTACTGGCAAGATACTGAAATTAAATTTTTTATTCTCTTTTAATATCATATTTTTTACTGAAGTTATTATGATTATTAGTTCACATATTTATTAATATTATCCTATAAAATTATTTATCTTTAAACTAGTAAACTCATGGATAATTGTTCGTTAAAATTAAAAAAAAAAATAGGATTCATCCAGTTATAAAATTTATTTACTAAAAAAATTAAGAAATAATAACAAGTATAAGTATTTTTTTTATTTTTTGACTTTTAAAAAAATGAGCTGGATTATCTCTGACAAATATGAAAAAGATAATGTAAATAACAAACACTTATATGTAAACATTATTGAAAAAATAAAATTCATTTCAATACTTTTTTTCCTCAAGTATTTTAAAATGAATGTAAAAAAATGAAAAAATTTTTTTGTATTTTCAGTTTTTGAAAAAAAATTATTAGAATTTTATAGAGGAATCATATATTTTTGCATTATTCAAGTTTTTTCAGCGATAAAATATTATTTAAACTATTTTAGTAATTATTTCAATTACTTCTTACATCTGTAAGTGATGTAACACAGAGTGGACAAGCTGAAGAATAATCTAGACAACGGTCTAAACACATCCAACAGTACGTATGACCACAGGGTGTTGTAACAGGTTTCCAAAGCGAACGACAGCACAAAATGCAATCCAAATCACCTGTGCTCGTGCCTCCTGATAGTGGGGGTAGCAAAACTTCTGCTGGCATCGGATCAAGTCCTAAAAATAATTCAAATTAAGTATTTATATTCCAATTATTCGTCTATTTTCTCTGTTTCACAAACAACAATAGCTAGTAAATATGATTTAACTAAAATGTTATATCAGCTTGTATAATAAATTCTTCAGATAGAAAAATATTTATTATAATTATTGACACAGCTTTTTATTTTATTTTTTTTTTTATCAATATTTTTAAAAAATATATTCATTAAAAATTTAGCATTGAAAATATTTCATCTAATTTTATTGCTAATAAATAGCTTATTCACAATATCAGTATAAGCCTCATTAAATGTTTTATCAAAAATTAAGATTTTTATATAGCTATAGCTATCTAAAGATCTTAATTTTTTCTAACGACAGATCTTGGCTACTAGGCTATAGAAAGTATAGTAAAAATATTTACTTTGTATTTTTTCAACTTCTTGGTAGACACGATCGAGAACACCATGAAGCTTAAGGTTACCTGGGGGTAAATTAGCGCAGAGAAGTCTTCTGCATATTGCCTGTAATACAAAAAGGTTTTTCATATAAAACCAAACTGTCAAAAAATTGACGGAAGCGACAGTATGGTGATAATGACATGAAGCAACTGGAAATCGATAACCTCGCAGTCGCGCACAAGCAACAACTCAACAGCTGTATGATCAGTCACAAATACACACTATAATTACTATGATTGATTTTAATTAGTATGATGAATAAATTTTTAAATGAATCCTTTTGACTTAGAGATTTATTTCCATGAGTGAATAATAGGATAACTAATTGTCAGATTCTTTAGATAAATAAAATAAACAAAGCTCATATTGATTTAATTACTTGAGTGAATTCTTCCTCACTGCTACTGTTATCTTCACAATCAGAAGAATTGAGAACTGCACGTCGATGTCGACTCGAACTTACAAGTGGTCGCAAAAGACGATGATGACGTTGATCACGTGTTCTTTTTAATCGTACATTAGATTCAGTGAAGATGTTGTATGGTCCTCGAGATGCTGAACCTTGACGACGAAAATTTGGATAAAGAACTCGATGCAGCACCTATCAAACGAAATCATTTCAGTTAATTTTTATTGTAATATTTCCGTGATAATAATGATCATTTTCATAAATATCAGAAACATTTTTTATTTTTACTGCACTATTCATTTAGTTTTTATTACTCTGAATTTTCATTGTTTTTATTATGATACAGAGCGTAAAGTTCAATATTAAAATATAAGTTACTATTTTAACATTACAAGAAATATATAATTATTAATAATTTTATCAAAAAAAAAAATAAATTAATCTTTTTATATAACTTGAAAGCTGATTAATCATTGAATACTTACTCTGGTGAGTTCATGTCTGACAATTTGTGGATTTTTATCGATGGCAACACTTGTACATAATGCAACGAAAGCTTCTTCATGTCTTCCCAGTGCGGACAACGCTACGCCTCGTCTGTAATGACCCTATCGATCAAAAAGTAATTGTTAAGTTGTCTTACTTGAATATTTAAATATTTCTGTGGGTCACGCGATAGTTTACTTTACTCGCATAATAATTCACATGTGAGTTACCATTGTAGGTATATCAACGCAATTGTTATTGCTTCACACAGAATTACGTCATTATTGATTTGTATCTTGTCCTCAAAACGATTTGTAAATTATGAAATATCATATATAATTTTTTCTTAATTATACTCATTTCACTTTGTAATCATTTTTAGACGTTTGAAATACTGATATAATATAACAGGATATTGCATGGTATAAAACTTTGAAAATGAAATTACTTCTCATAAAATAAGTAATTCATTAATGTAAATTTAATGATAATAAAAATTGTTCATCAAATATTACTTTATTTAACACTTTTAATTTTTTGACATTTAATCATTGAATAAAAATACATATTATAATATGAGCTATCATATAATTTATTTTTTATATAGAGAAAACTAGATAAAAATAAATTTTTCATTTTATTTCCATATGTTCGACATTAATTTTAAAGCAATTTATCTCAATATATTTTCATGAATAATTTTCTACGATATTAATTTCATAAAAATAATATAATGACAAATCATATAGTATAATAAAGGAAATTCTACATGGCCGAGTTAATCATATTGATAAAATACTAAAGTTAAAGTGCCAACTGATCTTCTTGACTATATTTGTTTGTAAAATACCATATTTACCTTTCCCCAATCAGGTCTAAGTCTAACAGCATGATCGGCATCAATCAGTGATGCCTGTGGTCTGTTCAACTGAAGTAAAACGTGGGCTCTGTTACTAAAATGAAGTGGACTATTTGGAGCTGTAACAGAGTTCGAAAGAAGTTTTATTAATTTAGGAGACATTTTGTTGTTGAATAAAAACTTTCTTTTAAGAATTATTGATGAAACTTTAAAAATTTACACAAAAAAAATTATAAAACTTAAATATAATTTTTTTTCTATTATATATTGGGCCTCTTATAATTTCTTTCAACTTTGCGTAACTATTACTTATCGTTCTTCTGGACCAGGTATTTCACAACATACTTTTATCGACTAACTAGTAACCAATTACTTCTATAATTTCACTAATCTGTCGTAATAAATCAAGTTTTCATGTAATTTATTAGCTTTTATGTTTATATCACGTTTTACAGAGTTTTGAACAATCGATTTTAATTTCTTGCTAGAAATATCAATGAAATTATCGCAGCTCCATTGTATCAATAAAATAAAATAATATTATAATTGTAGTATTTAATAACAAGTTTTATTTTTCATTATTCATAAGCGAAATAAGTTTTTAAATAGAAATATAACATTTTTTAATACTTGAAAATATTATTCATGATCGAGTTGTGGTTGATCTTTTTTGTTGTTCTGAAAACTAGACGGATTGATTCATTTTTTCCTTTAAATTACAAAATGGAATATTTGTAAAATAGATGAGAATTTTAATCTTTTATTGTGTTTCCTGTTTTTCGATAAAAAAAAATTTGAGTCAATACATGTTTTTTTATTGTTAGAATACAAGAGGACAGTGACATTTAAAGCCACATTGACATCGCGTACATCGAACCTGCATCGCTTTCGCGCGAATGTCGAGGTCAATATTATCGAAGCGTTAAATTAACGTTCCGCAGATTATGTGTAGTTTTTATTTGTCTCTCTTCCTCTCTCATTACATTCTCAGCATTCAGAAACACAATTTTTACGTTTTAAGGAAATTATTATTTAAATAAAATCCTATATTTCTTCATTTTTAATTATTTTTCTTCACTTCAGAAACTTCATGATACACAGATAGTGTCTAATAAATTGAGACAGAGAACATTGCAATGTATATATGTATAAAGATGAAGTAGTAGCATTCAAATATCTTGAGAATGAAGTCTGTTTTTTTATTTAAGAGAACTAATTTTTTTATTGAAAATATTTTATTCAAAAAAATGAATTCAAAGTTTTCTTGGGTTCTAGATTTTTAAGCGAGCTTTATTGTTGTAATTTATAATAAATTTTAATAAATTTGCGACGAATAGCAAATGTCCAAATTTGTATGTAATGATGTCTGTGAATCTTAAAGCGTAATGTTAGTGTTTCTTTTGCACTGAGCGATGCAGTGGTACCTCAGCTAAGCATACTGATGCCAGGCAGGCGACCTTCGGGAGTCTCGAGAAATGATCGGAGAGTTAACGGCCAGCCGTTCGCATGAGGAGGGATTGGATGAGCAAGCAAGAAGTGTGGTAGAATGTACGTGGTCGGGTAACCGACCTTTACGTAACGTTGGTCTGTTTGTGCTGACGTTTACTCTGGATCACGATGCATTGCTGCAGCTGCAATAGCGGCATTTTTCGTTCGTTTATTCCATCCATTTTTATAGTCCAATTGTACTGCTATTACCCCTAATGTTCAGATGAATCATGTTTGTTCATATTGCCAATACTCTCTAGTTAGCCTTATATGTTTATATTCTACTTTATTTTCATTTTACATTTAATTCGTAAGTAAATAGTTAATATATTTCCTACATACTTATCACTTTTTGGTTAATCAACGATTGCTTTTCATTTCTTAACATTGAAACTATCCAAAAACATTGCACAATAATTGGATAGATGATGTAATTATGTAAATATAATTTATACTATTTATGATGAAAAACAATTTAATGAAAAATGAAAGAATATTTACTTTAAAAATAGTTTAAATTATTTTACAATATAATTTTTGATTGAAATTTATTGATGTTTTTCAATACGATTCATTCACTTCTTGATTCGTCTTTAATTTGCAATGCAAAATATTCTGGTTTTGACAAAGAATCTAGTCCTAGAAATAAAACTCGTTTACATAATTGTGTGTTAGAAGGTATATCAGGTTTTGTCACTGATTGATATTCTAAGGAATCCGTTTATCACTGTAGGAAACAGGATATGCGTAAATATAGTTATGTTGAATAAATACCTTTTATGCTTTATTTTCATTATAACAAGTATTTATTAATTAAGTTGAGTTTTTAGATTATCACCCATGAATTATCATTTAATCAAAACTCTTGTGTGTTTATGAATTCTTTGTATAGTCATGATATTTTTCACGGTCAAGTACTTCGACAGTCATAGCTCTATGAAGGCTCCACTCGTTGATCTATTCTACTCACGAGTACGTCCACCAGTTTTGTTGATGACACTTGTCTGCTCCTTGACCTCAATATTCTTCAAATCTTGTTGAAATCTTTAGATTTTGAAAATTTCCAGTAAATAGGAAAGTCATTGTAGTCAATTTAAATATTTTAATTTTTCTTCAAGTTTCAAAATTATTCAACTGATTTGTAATTATTTCCAATCAATGGTAGGAGATATTTTTTTATTCAATCACTTGTGAAGGAAAATAATATCGTATTGATCGAGGTATCTAGAGTAATGTTAAGTGTAAGAATGATAATGACTTTCAGTATACAGTTTTTCTAACAGTGTAAGGTTCTGGAATGGCATCTATTTATATTTTATTTTTTTGATGTGATAATTGAATTACATCTTCGTTGAATATATTTTTCATTGTAAATATTAGTTAAATGAAAATCAGAGCATTTATGTTCTTTTATTCAATTAACAATCAACTACTTAATATGATATTCTTATGTTTTTTTATAGCTTAAAAATTCTTCAAATATGTTTGACATAGAAAATATACTTGGACTCGTCTCGATAAAATTGCGTAACTCTGGAAGACTTCTCGAGTCCATTGACTTCCTACTTCGTGTTTAGCTCGTCTATTTGAGTGCCAGGACATTATTTTATTAGATACAGTTGTTTGATGAAAGTTTACTTGAAACAAATTTTTTAATCTTATCTACATTACATTATAGTTATTTGTTTCATATTAAATAATTAATAGAAAAAAAAGTTTAAAGTTTATTTTTCTTCTAAATATTGTTTATCAGACTTTGTGCGGTACAATGTATTATTTCAGAGACAATTGACGTACGTGCGTATGTATAAGGTTTGGAGACTATTGATATTAGATCAAATGTTTATCCAAGTGACGAGTTGTAGTTACGGGCCACCGACTACACGTTTATGTGTGGCGACGTTTGCCTCGATCTTATATAAGTGCTTTTTATTATATAATTGAGACAACGAGACGGACCACGGAGGATTGTTCATTAGACGAAATTGTCGGTAGGGTACATGATGATTGACCAATAGATTCGTGAGAATTTTTATATTTTCTCATTTTTCGAGTTGAAACGTATTTTAGTTGATATGTTCAATATTTTGTACTACCTACTATAAGTAAATTTTTATAATTTTTATTCTAGTCATGTATTTATAAATGTTTACAATTGAATATCGGAAATATTAGAAATATATGAATGTGATTTCTAACAATAAATTGAAGAGTATTAAGTGAATATTGATTAAGTATTATTTACCTAGAAAAAATAATTAATTACTCCAAAAATTATGTAACATGTTTTCATCTTTTCGAGTCAAGCAATAATTTTTACTAATAAAATTCAAATCAAATAACATAACATATTGAAACATTACTTTTAAATACATTCAATTAAATGTGATAAGTTATTCTGTTAAATATATTGATAAAGAATTGAAATATGTAATAAAATGAATAGTAATAGGGAAATTAATTATTTTAAAAAGTTTTTAACTTTTTTAATACAAAGTATTAATTTAATTGATGAATGTTAGTTCATTTATCATAACATCTTATATATATATATATATATATATATTCATTTCAAATAAATAGATAAAACATTATTACGTCACGCATGTGATTTTATATTGATATAACTTCTCTAATAATTATTTAGTGTCTCTGTAATTCTTAAGAATTTGATAATTTTTTTTCGAAATTCTATATAGATGTCTCATTAGATAATAACAACCGCAGTGGACGAACAACTCAACACGCGCTTTACTAGGTTGACTCTAGTGTCAACGTAACCATTTATATAAATCTATCGTTACGTAATTTTAGTTGATCGCTACAAGAAGATAGATTTGGTTGGTACCCGACATTACGATGCTTCGTGTCTGGTATTTTAAATGAAAAAAAACAGAATTTACTTCTTCTATTATTTATTCATATTAATTTACAATAAATAATAGTCAAAAGTTTTATAACTAAAAGATGATAATAAAATAAGATTAAAAATGTTAATAATTTTGTTTGTTAAAAATTAATTATTATAATGAAGTCTCAAAATATTACATATTAATAATTAACGATTGAGCTATATAATAGAAAATAGAAATTAGTATTTTAGTTTGTAAAGATTGCATAACCAAATCGAGAATGATTGAAGTATGATTCATGAGTCCGGAGTCTCGGTTCGTTTATACAATCTCAACTCTCCAGCTTAAATTCAATTTCACGCACACTGAGTCGGACATTATTTCATCTCACTCTTAATAATCTTCGTGAGCACAAAGTTACGGTCTTGCCAATTGATATCAAACATTCGTTCTCTGTAACGATTGATTAAATGACTAAATTACTCCACGAAATTCTAAATAGTTTTTTCTTTTTAATTTCATTAAGTATTTAAACACATTATTTTGTACTTTTTATTGAAAATATTATTTAATCATTCAAACAACTACTTTTTACAAATTATTTCATTTTTTCATTTATATAATTAACCTGTTATTTATTAGAGAAAAGTATATGTGATAAGTTAAAAATCTACTTTTCTAATAAACCTTAGACAATATGTTCTATTAATATCATTTATGTCATTGTAGAAAGTGTTAGATAACAGGTTTACACAAATTTTATGTCGAGTTTTTTATTA